ATGCCTTTATATAATTATATTTTCACTTTTAAGCCTAAAAATATTAGTTGTTTTGTGTTACACTTTATAAAACATGAACATATGAAATTAACACTTCAGAAAAACTCAGATAGCATTAAACAAAGAAGCCTACTATAAGCACAGCTCTTTTTTAGTTCCCAGGGTAAATAAAGTCCAGCTTAATCAAAGCATTATAAGCCCATTGAAACAACCCACACTTTTTTTGGGTGATGGGTTAAAAAATCCTCCTTTTGAATCCCCCCCCCCTAAAAAAAAAAGGGCCTACATACACAGACAACACACAATATTGCAAAGATGAAGCACATTATTGTATATATAAAATTAGATAATAAACACCTTTCAACAAAAAGGAAATATTCTAGTTCTCAATGTTCATTAGCAAAATGAAATTCATTAAGTGTTTAAATCACAAAAATAGCTCTGCTTACAACTTTTACCAGAAAAGCACATGTAATAACAAACTACTTTATTGAAACTGTAATAAGAGGTAAGCAGCTGACAATGAAAAAGTAATTCCCCATTTCAATGCACATTAGCTTAGATCACTATAATAGATGTACTTATAACTGTTAAATAGAAAAGTAAAGTCAAATCGTCCTACTTCTTTGTTTAGCCTACTTGTCACTACTCTAATCCTACAAAAGCTAGGATCAGTGTATTTACCTGCTGAATAATAGCCATTACTAAGGCTACATATATGAGTTTTTAAAGCACTCTCTCAGCAATCTCATCAGTATTCTTTCAAAAATAGAAGAGAATAATTAAGGAACTCCATTGAAGGTATTTCTTCACATCTAGCTTTTATATTTTGTTTTCAATTAAATGCTTACATAGATTTTTTATCATTATTATGACAGAATTAGTCTGCTATCACATAGTAATCCCTTGACATGCTTTCATAATTGTATTTATGTATCTTTTGTTATATATTGTTGCATTTTTTATGGTATGCATATACAATTATAAAGTATTTAAGATTATATCTACCACAACAATAAATAAATAAGCATACATATGGATAGAAACAATTGACTATTTTAGTAAAAGAAGTAAATACCCAATCATTATGTGAACTGATGTTGCATCCTAATTAGAGAAGCAATTTGAATCTTTCTTTATGCTTAGTTTTGTTGAGACTTAAAAAGAACTGTCTACTTTTTATAATTATCATTGTTTGGTATTACTTAAATGTACTGCTTAACATAATTTTTATTTTTATTTTTTTGGTTTGCACTTATGCACTGCTGCTCATATTACATACCCTATTTAGGTGTGGCAGCTTCTTTTTAATACATTATAATTTACTGTTGACTACCTGGGTAGCTTTGTTCTTTTAGTAATTGCTCATGAATTACTTAACTATAAAACCATCTATGTTTATCAGCTAAATTTTTTGGACATATTCTTCTGTCCTTTGTTATTCCCCTAACAGCACTTAGATGCTGCATTGTTTGTTTGTATAGTTAATTAATGAACTCTGAGAGTTGTCTTTGTTTTACTCACTCATGCATGCTTTCTTTAGTATTTATATAGGAATCAAATAGTATCTACCCTACAAATCTTTCTTTATGCTTAGTATTTATACAATTGTTATTTGTTATGCCTTAATTTTTGTGGGGTATTTTAAAGAGAGGTATTTCATTATAAAAGAAAACTGTAAAAGAAAGTTCAATACAATCTAAATAATCAAAACAACAAATAGATTACTAAGAATGACTAATACAAACTCCTTATAATTTCTTATAAGCTTATAACATATCCACCAAATGCGTAGATGAAGCCTGAGTATACCTCTATTAGCAATTTGACTCCACAAACTAAGGCGTACAAAGTTCGTGCAAGGGTAATTGAGAAAGCAGAACCAAAGCTATATCCTAACAAAACTCTGTACCAATGGCTGAAACTAGAGGACGGTGAGGTTTGTTGCAAATATTGTTATTTTGTTTTGTGTTAGAATTCTGTACAAGTTGTTTATTAAACAACCCAAACTGGATTTAATTATTTTTGTTTTTCTTATTGCTTAAGGGAAATCGCATTCGTGGAACATTGTTTGAAAATGAAGTTGAAAGCTTCAAGGGAATTCTTGAGCTAAGCAGGGAGTATGAAATTGCAAATGCTCCACTAAGAGCTGTTAATGAGAAATGGAAAACAAGGGAAGATGACTGTCAGATGACCTTTGGAGGGAACACAACTATCCAGCCCCTTCAAGCTGAAGCAGGACCTGTGCTTCCTAAGTACATTCCAATTGCCTCTATTCCAAGCACCATCTCTAAGAGTGAACGCTTTGGTATCTACTTAAATGCTTCTGCTTAAGAAGTATTGCTTAAGTAATTTTTTCTAATACTGCCCTGCTACCCATAAACTTACTTTATTTTGGCTTCTTCCAGATGTCATTGGAGTAATTCTATACATGGAGCAGGTCAGGCAGGTCAAAACTGCATCAGGGGCTTCAATTGATGTTCGTGAGGTTGTGATCACTGATGACAGGTATATTCTTACACATAGTTACCTAATTACTAACATACATTCCTCATTAGTTGATTCAATTGAAATGGTAGCATATAATATAATAATTGAATAGCTTGTTGTTTTGAACATACTTATTTTGCTCCATTTGGATCTAAATCTTAAATTCTTCCGTTAACTTTCCTAAAATTTTCAGTTCAAATTTTAAAAACGCAAGTATATCCGCTTCTATAATTCATACATGTAAATATTATTAAAAGTGTGGATTTAGAAATCAAAATAAATTTACAAGAACCTCATGCAAATATGGCTTTCATTATGACTGTCAAACCATTAGATTTAATTCATACTCACACTTTTTTGCATCATAAGCCCCTAATTTGATTAAAATGCAGTATATACCAACCTCTAATACTCTCTCTTTGGGGAGGGCTTGCTACTGAAGGCTGCGAAAAATTAGCTGCTTGGGCATCAATCCCACTCATTGCTGGTTTTACCTACATGCGCCCAACAGGTCACAAAGGTAAGAGGTACTACTGCACTCCTATTTTCTTTGGTGACACTAAGTAAGCACCTATGATAACACTTCAAAAAAATTCTGAAACCACATGCCTCTCGCTAGCATCCTCTATGTCTACATCAGTCATACTTGGGCCTTTAGGAGAGACAGCAGACATCTCAAGAAATGGTAAGCCACTGTATATATAACAAGCATTTATAGCACTCATTTGGCTATTATACTTACTTGGTATCTGTTCTCAACAGGAGTAGGGACAAAAAATCTTACATAAGTGACCTGATGGCTAAGGTTCTGCTAATCCGTGAACCATCTGTTGACAGGATAATAACTACTATTGGTGAACTTGAACTGAAAAAGGTTTTGATACACAGGCATTACACTTGTGACATGTATTTTCTATTCCAATCTATAGCATGCGCATCATTAAATTTGATATTTTATCACTGCAGCTTACTGATACAATGCAAGAAGAGCGCATATGGCTCGAAGCAAAAATCCCTGAACCTGATGTGAGAAAAATCATTGCCTACATAGGCTGCGACAACTGTGGCCGCCGTTGTGAAGAACTGGCTGGTGAGACCTTTAAGTGTTCCAGCTACCCAAACAAAGTTTGCACAGCCACTGCTAGGTAGCTGTATTCTTATCATGACAATAACAAGCACATGTCTTAATTAAAAGCTAACCATCATATTGTTTCATGCAGGGTGAACTACACCTTCACCATTACTGATGGAACAGGGGAACTGAAGCTCACAGCTTTTGGAGCAGAGTGTGAGAAGCTTTTTGCATGAAACTTGCTGACATATACAGCAAAGTAATTGCTGTAAGTAACTCACACACCCAAGACTTAAAAGCCTAATACACAACAAGCTATGAACTTACTATAATTTACTACCTTGCTAGGAATACTAGGATGACTTTGATGAAGCAGCAGCTAGACTGTCCACTAAGGAGGCTTACTTTTGTGTTGGACCAACAAACATTTTGAGCAGGGTGGGGGCTCTGAGGTGGGCTCTCAAATCTGTCTCAATGGAATAACTAGATGGAGGTTTGCTTAGCAAGCAGTGTGATTCTTATCTCATATTCCTCTACTGATCCTTTTGATATTGCACTGCTTAGATAATAAGTGGTTCTTCTAAACTATCTTAGCCTAGACTGAATGGTATATTCATCTCTATGGTGTCTTAATGCAAGTCGTTAGGTTGTAATCTTTTGGACAAATTTACAAACCTAAGTCATCCATTACCACATTAATCTAAGCTTTTTAACTGCCTAATGATACTATGCATTTCCCTCCCACTTACTTGTTTACTGAAAGCTATCATCTCAGAATGCTAATTATGTATTCCTATGAAATTAAGCATGCTAGATTAATATAGCTAATAATATAGATTATAGCTTTCTATTTATCATGCTAATAATTTAGCTGTGATAAAAATCTTCTAAATGATGTGCATTTTAATTTCAAGTTCTTTCAAAGATAGTGTTATTTTATTAGGGAAGAAAGATCAGTGAAATTAGGATCTTTATCTGAGTTTTCAATGATTGAATTTGTGATGTATTGACTCATTTATATTGAGATAGCTATTATAAGTATATTTAGAAACTATAATTATATATTTGATACATTTAAACTTTCAACAAAGTATAAGAATGATAATACTATAATGATACACAATTCAGAAATATATTTGATTTAAACTTGGGAAAAAAAAGAAGACAGCATTAGAAGCTTAACAACAGATACCATAACTTATAGCTAAAATAGATATAGAAATATATATATTTCATTGTCATTCAAATTAGCAATTACATCACATTCTATAAAATTCATGCTAATTTCTACCAAGCTTAGAACTTATCAGCCTATATACTATTATACAATTTAACCCACCAAAAACCACCAGCTACCTACATTGCTAAGCTTGCTAAGCAAAAAAAACCTACACTTCAATGCAATTTCATTCAACAAAAACTAGCAACAACTAGACTTTCATTCAATTTGTTCATAATGAGACAAGTTAAGGCCATACATAGCAGAGTCTTCTGTAGAATCAGCAGACTTATAGCCTTCAACAAAGTCATCATCTTCATTGCCTCCATCATCGGAGTCATCTTGATCATCCTCCTCTGAGCTAGCCTCATCATCGTCCTCTGGGGCCGCCTCTACATCCCTCTGCTCTTCCTCTTCTAAAGCATCACTGTCTTCCTCCCCATAATTCTCTTCACCTTCCTCTTCTTCTTCTTCAATACCCTCACCATCTTCCTCCTCTTCCCCTTCTACATCCTCCACCTCTTCCTCAACTTCTTGACCATCCTCCTCCCCCTCAGCTTCCTCCCTGAACCTGCTCAATCTCCATTGGAGTCACCCCATATCCCTGCTCCACCATACCACTCCTAGCCAACGCAGCAGCAGCTTCCTCTTCCTCCATCCTCCTCCTTTCATTTTCAAGCTCTGCCTCAACCTGCTCTGCTTCTCTCTAAAGCTCCTCCCTACGAGCTTGTAAAGCCCTAAGTCGTGAACGCAGCATACTCAATTGAAGCCACCTAGGACGACCATGAGGGGCACTTGTAGAAGCTCTTGATAAAGATGAAGAGGCACCATCATTGTTAGCCATTTTAAGCTTAGATCAATTTACAGAAAATGAAAATTATCTAGGGTAAAGAGAAATATAAAGATGAGAGATAAAGAGAAAGTTGAGTGATAATCTAATGAAGGAAGATTAATAGCTTCTAAGTTCTGACTCTTTATAAGCTATAGTATGCTATAATAGCATCTTCAGTTTAATGTAATTGCATATAGTTTTAGCTTTAGATGGAAATATGCACCCAAAATTTTTATTCTGTAAATTTTGGTGCAAAGTCTGATTTTATAATGTGTACAAAAGTGTCATTCTTACAAAAGGATCCTTTTTCTAAAAGAGCCCTTTTATACTCCTAACAAAATTTTTTTTCTATTCCAATTTTTACTTGTATGTTATTTTTAATATGTACATCAAATATTTTGTAATTTACAATTGGCTACAACTAAAGTTCTTTTCTTATTGAATTTTATAAGGTAAAATATTATACAATGTTACCATTTAACAATGTCCACCAAGGATCATTAATTAGTCGTACCAATTTCGGATAAGCCATACATTGTTAAGTTCAAATTAATTCAAAGTACAATGATTTGTACTCTATACCTTAATTCCTTAATAATTAACCTATTAATTTTGTTTTTTTTTAAATAAATATTGATATATTAACAACAAAGTAACAATCTCTACAACCTCAGAGTAAAATGATTTGTACTCTATTCCTTAATTCCTTAATAATTAACCTATTCCTTTTTTTCCCCTTTTTAATACTATCAATCTTGAGTACTTGAGTTGTAGGCGATAAAGTATCAAGACATTCTATCAAGGGCATTATGTAAAGGCTATCAAATCTCAACACGAAGACACACTCTTGCACTATTGCGTGTGATTTATACACTAACCCCAAACGTTACTACACCATCACATTTTTTATAAAGATTTTACAAATAGTGAAGCTACTCTATGTTATTACTAGGGCTATCAACATGAAGCTACCCTAGGTTATCACTAATTTTAAATGCCATTCACTTTATCAACATGAACGTTCACTAATTAATCTAAATTTATTCATTATTACCTAAAAAAAACCTACAAATTAGCCAATAGAAATCACACTTCCGGTCTCACTAACTAGCAACACCACATTACCAAAAAGTAGGCAATCATACTTAGCCCCATTGTAGCTCACAACAGCATCCATTTTCTTTAATTTGGAGGGTAGATAGCAATAAATCTACCACATATAAATACACCAAAATAATAAAAAACGTGAATTTAAAAAAAAAAAAAAAAAGTAAAAGAAGCATTCTTTCTTAAAAAGTTCTTCCTGTATTGACTTTTTTATACATCTTGTGACAATTACCGTCCAAAAAGACTAAACATTAGAAGACGAAACAAGTATAAAATTAAACTAATTAAAGCAAGAGCATTTACAACAATTACCTTAATACTAATCAAGCAAGAAAAGTTTGAAAGGATACACAAAACAAGATTAAGAGGAAAGAGTATTTATAAGAATTTGAAGGAGGGCGTCTCTTGGTTAGCACATAAAACTACAAATAAATAGGATTGGGAGTGGAGGGGTTAGGATGAATGACATCTTATGTATAGTTCCTCTATTTTATTTAAACACTCATACAAATTATTTCTGTTATCACCTTAATTTGCTTTTTAGTTAACTATCTTTTTCAATTACCCAAAGTGGTGCTCATTTTAATTATATAAATACATATTTTGTTTACTAAAGGAACGTTCAATGACATTTTATTTCATATTGCTATAAATCTTCTACCATATATTGCACTATTCTCCAATCTTGTAATTTTTAATTTCGATATTATTGTTTAATTTTCTTGATAATATAAGAGATTATTAGGGTGATCATGATTTATTGGTGAACTAGCCAAAAGTGATGTAGAGAAGAATTTAATACATTATAAATATGATTTGTATAAAATATGACTCAAATATTGCTAAGTAACAGAGATTGCCATTTGGAGATTATGATTAAGTAAACATAGCTTAACATACTATAAAATTCATACTGATTTCTACCAAGCAAATAGAAACCATCAAAATTACAACTTAAGTCATCAAACCATCAAAAGAAGAAACTACTACTAAGCAAAGATAACAACTTATTAAACCATCAAAATCCAGCAACTACATAACCTATACTTTCAAACAGATCAAACAACTTCATTAAAAACGAGCCACATTTTCTGAATCTTCTTCTTTTGAATCTCCCTCCTCCTCCTCTACAACAACATGTTCTTCTTCCACCTCCACCGCGGCCTGTACCTTCACTTCTTCCATAGCCTGGTCAGCCTCCATTCCAACAACTTCCTCGCCCTGTTCTACCTCTCCAACCATAGCAGCACCAGCAGCTGCTGCTGCTTCTTCTTCAATTATTCTCCTTGTGTTTGTTATTCGAGCTTCCACTTGTTGCATCGTAATTCGCATCCTATATAAAACCCCCTCCAGTTCATCCCTACGTTGCTGTAAATTCCTAAGCCTATCACTCAAAGCAGCCAACTCTTGGCTATGAGAATTGCCAGCAAAAGGTTGATAGTTTGATGCTTGTGAAGAAGATGAAGAGGCGCCATTGTTTGCCATTATAAAAGAGAAGAAAATATTCAGAAGAAAAAATAAAAGGGAGAAGAAGCAGAAGAATCTTTCAGAAATGAAAAGACAAGAAAGAGATATGTTGTCTCTTATAGCCTAGGCATTAATTGTAAGAAGATGTAAAGACCTATTCTAGCTCTATTAGAGAAATATACACTTTTCAAGGTTCATTTTATCAGAAAAAGTACTTATAACAATAATATACTATAAAAGGTCCTTTTTCGAAACCAACCTTTCTATAGTTCAGACAAATTTTTATTCCATTGTATTTTCAATGTACATGCCATTTATAGAATGATCGTAAAATATTTCTTTTTTTTTTCCTTTTTTTAAAAAAAAAAAGTTTAAAAATTTCACTTTAATACTACATAAAAATAATCCTATATTTTTAATTAAGTTAAGGAAAATAAAAAAAAAAGTATTGAAAAACTATATTGTAACATCATTTTTACATCATTATTCTCGATTTATAAGATTAATCTGACTAATTAGTAAGGAATTGGTACTAAACAAAAAGAGCAAAATGATAAAGAAATATTCCAAGCTTTTGCTTAACTTAGTTTACTTAACCTTAATATGTATGTTGATAAAACTAAACTCTGAAACATAAGCTAATCCAAAGGCAGACCAGTAGTAACAACTCTATAATCATATTAAGCAATAAAACCAGTTATCAAAAGTAGAAATGAATACTATCTTTACCCAAAGAAAGGGATGTATAGCCTTTTCCATCTTTTACTAAGCTATAACAACTATACTCTATTTCTTTGCAATAATTATTAGTTTCAAAACAGTAGATTTTTTCAATATTTTATTTTTATTAATTAATGAATCATAAACCAAGATATAAAACAATATTTTATGGAAGTTTATTATATTAGTGTATAAAGGGCACTTGCAAGCTAAGGATTATTACATACTTTCACAATCATTGCTACATTTGCAAATCATATTCATTGTTAAAATTTATGGTCTACATTTCATGTGTCTTAATTTGATTCGATTAAAAACCTTACAATTAAGTACGTGTATTGGGTTTTTCTCAAGTTGAAATCATATATACTTTATCTGTGTTATTATTTCTACGTAGTAATAGTGATAAAATGAATTATAATAGAGATAAGTTTTATTTTAATTGAAATCAAAATTTTGAGTCAAATACAATACAAATTTTACTAAGGAATCTCTATACTTGAGCTATATTTGTTTGCTACAAATAGGCTTTGATTCCAAGAACTTAGCAAATCAAACCTTTCACCAACAATTACTGATTCTAATCTTTCATTAATCAAAGGGACAAGTTTTACTGCACTTCAAACCAACAAAATGAAAATTGCTGATGTACTCGAGAATTACCATTTTTTTGCTTAGTTTGAAGATGTGATTATTGCACTTTTGACCCTATGAATAGCCTTACTAGATGTATAGCCTTTTCCATTTTTCAATATTAATTGAATAAAACAATATTCAAGAAGCATGGCTTAAAAGCAGAAACTATGATATATAAAAGTAGCATCTACAACCATCCAAAGTAAAGAAAGCAACAAATACCTCTCTTCCAAACTGATTAAACAAGCCCCATCACGACCATAGGTGACTTAGATGTTGCTGCTATAAGACCATCAATTCACTACTAAATCCTCATATACCAATCTCAATTCACATAACAAATTACAAATACAAAAATGGCAGCAAAGGGTAAGGGAAAACTTCTTGTTGAGCCAAAATCACGCTCATCAGGAAAGCTAACATTGAAATTAATGGAAGAAAGAATTGATGCACTTGCAAGACAAGTAGAAGAGCTAGAACACAAATTGCAGCACCTTCAAGAAACCACCTCAAAAGAGATTGCTGAGCCAGAGAAAAAACAGATGCCACCAAAGAAGCGTCGCTTTATGCTCGGTTCAGACTCGGACAAAGAACAAACATTAAGCTATTCCGACAACAATGACTTCCAACAGCTCAGTTCTAACTCCAAGGGTACCAACTACAGCAATGACCCAGACTACAATGCTGATGATGATAGTGCATCTTCCAACCAGGACACCTCCAACGCAACATCTGAACAAGAACAAGGCTACTCAAAGAGCAGCAATGGTTCAAACAGTGGTGACTCTTACTACTAGAGATGAAGCAGCCAAGACAAATTATTAAATGAAGTGAAGCAAAATTATAGCTACTTTTAATGTAATGTCTAGCAGTAGAATGTATTGTGTCAATATATGGCACTAGAACTAATTTTAGCGTATTGTCTATCATTTAGTAATATATTGTATGAATGTATGGTGTTACTCTATTAATTTTATATAATCTACTATATTAATTCTATAATTTACTGTGTTAAATTCTGATATTACTTAACTACTTAAGAGTAATAAGCAAGTCTTGATTAGTTATGTCTGGTTATGTAT